TGTTTTTGTTATAGTCGAGGATGATTGTGGGCTTTTTGTCACTTCCTGATGACACAGCTGCATCTTTGTGAAGAGTCGACATAAGTATCACATTCCGTTTTCTTTTTGGACAATATGAGACAACAGTGGTGGTGTCTGTAAAAGCAAACTTTGAGGAAAGTGGAGCCCTGTCCTTCACCTGCAAGATTTCAGCAGGTAGCTCAGGTTTATTTTTCTTCACTGTGCCCCATGTGCACTCTGCAAGTCAAATGACCACTCAACTGAGTGGAATTGACGTAACATGTCTGGACATGCACGTCTTTGTTTGTTTTGTTTTTGTGCAGGAATACTGGAAAACAAGGCAAAATGAGCATCCCCTAAAGCTCACATGATTGGGAGAGGAGCTGTCTGTCAGTGTTTTGGCTGACAGTGCACTTATGATTTAAGTTTTGGTTCTAATTATTGCTTTATAATCTAACTTTTATAACCGGGTCGAAACCGACCCGAACAACACAAAGGTCATAATTTCAACCAGAGCATTTTATAATTTAGTGAAAAAAAAAATTTTTGTTTTATTTTGTTGAAATAGAGGTTCTTGACAAAGTCAAAAAGCCTTGACGCAATAAACGAATTTACGTGTTTTTTAATGCATTTAAAACTTGGAAACGGGTCGGTGCCGACCCGAACACCAGAGGAAGGTTAAACACACACCAACCTGAGCGTCTAACTCCTGTATCCGGACTGTCCTTCGTTCCTCTTTTTGCTTCTTCTCTTGCCATCTTGTCTGCCTCTCCTGCTCCACCTCCTGGATCAACTGCTCCCGTTGCCTTAGGGACTCCTGCTGGGCCTTGCGGTTCTTCTGCATCTTCTCCTCGAGCTGCTGCTGTCTCCCAGTGAAAACCTGAGAAAATGAAAACAAAGCAAAGAAATGTCTGTGTGTGTTTCTCACATCTTTTTGGTTTAAGGAAAATCCCTTGGGTCAGTTGAGAAACTCCCCTCCTGCATCAGCAATTCCCTGGCTTTTCTCTCCTTCTCCCACTGTGCTTCACGTTTCGCCCAAACTTGCTGAGCTTCTTCTCTGAAGATAATGAGAGGAAATGGCCAGCATTTAAGGAGAGAAGAAAATACACAAGTCTTAAGTTGCTGATGCCCACTGTGATGCCCACCTCTTCAACATGTCAAACTCTGCTTCCCGCTCTCTCTCCAGCTGAAGCTGCTCTTCAATCACTTGTTTCATCCAGGCAGCATCGGCGACGGCCCGTTCTCTTCGTGCTGTCTCCATCCATTTTTCCTCATCCTCTCCTTCCATCAAGGCTGCCAAAATTTTACGGTCCACCTCCTGGTGGCCACAAATAAAAACAAAACATTCAAAAATCTTATCATAAATGAAAGTAACAACAAATAAAGACTCACCAGTTCTTCCTGCACCTGCTGAGCTCTTCTCTTCAGCTGAGTTCTATACTGTCTGATCAGGAACTTCCTGTTAGATGACAAAGATAGATTCACTTCACCATTTGAACTATAGTATGTTTAAGTAAAGCCTGAGGCCAATCAAATGTGGAGACAGAGTTGATTTAACTTTAATTCAACAATTCAATATCCAAACCCGAGATACAGGAATTAGGATTTTTTTAAAAAGTAGAATCTGTTCATCCCTAAATTTATTCCACATTAAGTCATTTATCCGTAAACATTTGCCTCTCCAACCTCATCTCAGACTTCTTTTGTTTCTCCTCCACCTGTCTCCTCTCCTCCTCTATCTTCTCCAGCTGCCACTGCTGCAACAGCAGAGCATCTTGCTCCTTCTTTAGTTGAGTGGTCTGACAGAGGACAAAAAAGACGCTGCTTTGTGATGTTCAGTCAAACATTATTCGACAGGGATTCACAGTTGGTTTATGGTTGAAAAATCGATTACCTCTTCATCCCTCAGTTTAAGTTCTTCTATCTGTTTGTACAGTTCTTGGGCTCTCTTTCGCTCCTCCTCTCTCCTTTTCTCCACAGACTCTCTAATCCTCTCCAGAGCCTCCCTCCTGCTTCTTTCATTCTCATTTTCATAGAGTCTCCTCTCCTCCTGCTCGGCCTCTGCCTGCTATATGTTCATTCAAACAGGTCTCTGACAGTCAGCAACTTTTTTGGGGGGGATTTCAGATCATGTTTGGAATTGAATGACCTAATTATGTCCAAGTGAAATCACCTGTGTGATTTTGATTAATTTATTTTTACCTGTTTCTTATCATTTATCTGCTCCTTCCACTGACTGACAACATGATGCTTATGTAATGCTGTCTCCACCTGTGGACACATTAAAGAGAACGTGTTCTGATATAATCAAGATGGAGAAACTGAAACAATTGACTTCGACAAGAGAGGCTATCAGAACAATTTACTCTTATACTTTGAAGTAAAGGAAAAACAATTTAACTTAATAAATGAAGTGTAACTACCTCCTGAAATTCTGGGCTGTTTTTCTTCCAGTGCTCCCTTAACAGCTCTTGTGCAAGCTATAAATATTTTTAAAAAAAGTATGATTAGTATTTACAAATTTCAGTAAAATATAAAAATCTACTCAGTGTCCATTGCCCTTACCTTTTTTTGTCTTTCCTCCCTTGCTGTACGGAGCTCCTCTGTTTTCTCCACCATTTGTCTTGATGACGCTCTGTTGTCATTCAACACTTCCCTGAGCTCCGCCTCCAGCTGGCGCTGTTCTTTTTGAAGCATGTCCCTGAGACGATTCCTGCGCTCCTTCAGACTTGCTTCTTTTTCCTCCTCCATCCTCTGTCTGTAAAAATGACATTTTATTTTTAATTTATGGTCTGTATTGTCATTGCTCACCTTGGTGATGGGTTAAAAGCAGAGGCTCAATTTCGTTGTATCCCCGTGTTGCAACGACAATAACGACTGTAATTTAATTTATTTAATATTAGGACTTAACTAACAGGAGACAAGTTATTGTAGCCGTTTTTAACCGAGCAGGCGAACAGTTTTATAACTGTTGTGTATGTTCTACGTTAGAAAGGGTTACCTCTGTTGAAAAGACTGTCTGGAGCTCCACACGTTATGTTTCTGACCGCGAACTTTCTGCTCTCTGAAGTACCGAGCATGCAGCTCCGACTGCTTCCGCCAGTGGGCCTCCCGCTCCCGCTGCCGATTCAGCTGTTCTGCCAGAACTCGGGATCGAATGGGTGGACGGACCGAGAGTGTCGGCAGAGCCATTAATCTTAAAAAATAAAAATACAATTCAAGCTAAAGTCGATTATATATAGATGATCGTGTTAAACACTGGTATTGTGTGCAGTGACGCTTAAGACTCACACAACGAACTACATTATTTAGTTATTTGAAAACCCAGATTTAAATGTGTTGTTGAATTTGTTGAATTCTTCCGAGATAACTAATTCTTATCTAAGTCTAATAACTAGATAAGAATTATAATAACCAAGTCTTTTGGTTCGACAAACGATACGTGTTTACCCTAGTATTTTCTTCTCTGCTAATGTTCGAAGAGTTCAGTTGATATTGTTTGAGCTTCCGCGCAGACAGCAGCCCTTGGAAACCAAACACTTCCTGGACACTCGTGTGCTACGGGTAGTGATTAGTGATGTGTCGTTCGCGAGTGATTCGTTCAAAATGAACGAATCTTTCATATGAGTCGTGACTCCCGAGTCATATGAAAGATTCGTGACTCGTGACTACCGAGTCATATTAAATATTTATTCATATTGAACTCACGAATCACTCACA